CGGACATGTGCATGCTGCTTGTGTCAAATAATGACTGAAACATGAAACTTCAGCATGCCAGTTCATGTTTACACACGGTTGGTTGAACAGTGCTGCAGATGCATCGCAGCAACAGATTGTCATGTATTACTATGACATTTACAATCAAAGACATTAATAGTTGAACCTGATTTAGAAAATAGGTAGTAATTGCAGTAAAAACATGCAGCAACCCCAATAATCCTTAACACATCCGGGGCTTTGGGTGCCGGTTGCAGTGTGACACCCATAGCAGGCCAGTTTTTCGGGGCGTCTGTCTCAGGGTGATGGGTGCTGCCGAAGAGGGGCATTGTGACTCCCAGTGAGAGGAAGGGAAGGTGGGGGGGTTATTGTCCCCGAGCCTGCGGGAGCTGCCATGCACTCCGGGGCCAACAGCAACACAAGAATGCTGACAGGACAAAGGCCATAACTCCATTCTATAGCAACACAAGCGAGGCATTGTGTTCATACAGGCACACACACACACACACAGACACACACACACACATGCATGCATTTGCCGTTACTACAATAACACACACACACACATAAACTATACTGGAGCAAACTATGCATGTGTGCAAGCATGCCAAACACTCATTCATCAACTAGTTTCCCACACCATGCAACCCCCCGCAGGACATCTCCATCACGGGCTGAGAATGGCCAGTCAATGCTGGGACAATGAGCGAGCGAGCGAGCAACAGAGAGACAGAGAGAGCGAGAGAGCGAGGAGGTTTGTGGTTCAGCTGCAGCAGTGCATGTGTTTGTGGCTTCCTGTTGCGTCTACGCCTCAAGGCCGGTTCCCACAAACACCTTCACTGTCTAATCTGAAGGTCTGACTGAGCCGCAGAGGAAGAAGTATTTCAGTCATGCATACGTAGGCGACTAATAAAACAATGTATAGCTGTATATAGTGCATATGTGTAGTTGGTTTGGCCTGCTTTATGTACAGGTTCAGTCCTGCAATTCCACCTCCAAAAGGTCACCAAGTAAATCTAAGATACTGTGCAATGATCAATGTGGTATGAAAGGCAAAGAACAAACTTCCGCCACACAAATTTCCTTTCATTTTGTTGAAATTTTCTCTAATCTTTCCTTATTTGTAGATGGCTAAATGAAAATATGTCAGAAATTAAGGAAGAAAATCTCTTTGGTGCAACTGCTGACAACTCATTAAATGTGTTTCCATGCCGACTTAGCAAATTAGCCTAGATGTAGCAGTGTTGAGCTAAGCTAGCTAGCAGTTATTAAATGAAATGTCCCTAAATGAAGCTAGAAATGTGGCAAGCTAAGCTACACCATCATGACAAAAGCATTGGAGGCTTCTTTTTTATTTATTAATGTATTTATTAATGTTTAATTTATTTCATTTTCTGACTACAGACAATGAAAACCATGTAGCTAGCCAGTAGTCTGCTGTTGACAAGCTGTTAGCTCGTGTTGACAGACAGCGCTAAGGATTGGTATGTAATGTCACGGTCATATGGACGTGCCACAGATATCGAAGGCAGAACAACAAAAAGGGCTCCCAGAGATGCTTCTGAAAGACTTTGACTTCACACTTTTTACAGGATATAGCAGCTAGTTACAAATTGGACCGTAGCAGTACATCAGTGATTATTCCTGAGGCGTGCTGAACATAGTAGGTGAATGTAGCACAAGATTTCTGGAGATTTTGGGGCATCCTAGAGCAACTTTTGTAATGATGAATTGGAAATGTGGATTGACAGAGATTCCCTTTGCATTTACATCATGCATACCCTTGCAGAGCCTTGCGGACAAGGGAACATGGACAGCATCCACAGAAAAAGTTCAAGTTGTTGAATTTACTGAAGGAAAATTCCAGAAAAAAAATGGAAGGTAGTGTTTAGCAAACACAAAAGGATCACAGAGACCTTTGGCATTACTGATATGCTACAGAAGAATGTAGACAGTGATAGCATACATCCAGAGATGCTACTCTTACAGCCATCTTGTGATGACTGGAGCTTTTAGCCAGGGGGTTGTGTCGTCAGATGGCACAACCCCCCGGCTAAAAGCTAAAAAGCTAAAAGATAATATAACTGTTTCAAGCAACATTACTGCTCGAAACTTCAGCTCACATGAAGCAGGTGATCTAAATGCTAACTTTAGCAAAATGGCGGGAAACAAAAGCATGAGATCTGCATGGTGTGGAGTCTTTCTAGGTTTGATAGGGCCTCTTTTGATTGTGTAATCTTGTTGCGCCTTTTGGATTTTAATGGTACTTGAGTAGTAATTTAGGGCCACCTGCTGCTCGTCTTAGCCGAGCAACTGCCTACTTTGCAATTTAGTTTGTCGATTTTCTGCAAACGTGCTTGTAATTTGCGCCATGTTGGGATGGAAGCTTGAATATAGCCATCTGTAATGTGACGAAGAACCGTAACAAGATGCCAGTATGGTAGATTTTTAACAATGCACTGTGCTTCATAAGGTTATAATATGCATTTCAATGTCAAATCTTTTTTAATGGAAAGTTGCCAGTAACTGAAGTACCGAAGTAACTTTCCCTGCTGGCACTGACGCAGTGCTACTGGTCACATTCCTCTTCCCGTATGCACTCGTTCACCCCTTTCCCTGCTGTCTGGAAACAGCTCGGGAGAAACTAAGAGGAGCCGTGACCCCTCTGCCACAAATCTGTGAATGGGCCGCGAATGAGGAAATGTGGGCACAAGAGGCTATCCGGCCTCGGCTGTGAGAAAACATCCACTCCCGCTCACCTCTCGTCGGCGAGGCGAGGCCGGCAGACAGGTGAGCGACCTTTGACTCGGCCTGCCGCGGAGCGCTGCTCGACGCGCCAGGAATGTGTCCACACCTCTCGGCCAACCACGTCACGGCGAGTGGAAAACACGCGCTCCGTCTAAACCCAAACAGAGTGTGTGTGCTCGCCCGGGCCTCTCTGTTATGGTCTACATTCTGTGGCGCTGTGTGAATGTAGGGGAGAGTGTTTTGGGAGCGAGAGTGATGGATGACTTAATCTGAAGGGACACAGGGAGCGGAATGGGAGGCGTGTGTGTGAGAAAGGAGCAGCACGATAAGGATATTTTTGTCCAATTTATGTGAAGTATTTCAAGGCCTGGGCAGTTATATCAACTGTTGCTGAGAGCTGATGTTGAAGTGAGTGAGTCTGGGGGCAGTTCTGCTCAGCAACAAGCTTTCAGTGACGAAGGGAGATTTCACAGAACAGCTCGTGTCAAATTTTTTGCAGTTTTGGTCATCGTTCCTTTAGGTTTTGCAATGTTGTACTCATTTTGCTAATTTCTGACAAATGGGAATGTAGCTACATTGCCTGAAAGTAGAAAAACATGTTATGAAATACAAGCAGCCCAACAGATTTTATACAGACTTCTACATTAACCAACATCTTCAGAGGAGGAAATGAATTCATACAGTAAAATCAGTCTGGTGTTCTGTCCAGTGTTAAGAGAGTTTAACACCAGACATACAGTTTAGAGGACCCACAGGTTAGTCAAGTTATCATGTTTCCTAATTTTACATTTAAATAAATGCAGAAATTACCATTTAAATAGGAATTATTTACTAATAGTGGCAAGTGTCTGCTTATTTGCATTTAACTCTTTAACACTTTAAATCCCTAACATTCAGTCTTTTATATATAAACTGTATTTCTTTTACAAAAGTAGGATGCAGGATATTGGATTTTTGTCAATATCTGATATGTTGATATTTTCCAACTTCTCTGACCTATTGCTGATGCTGATTTTGAGTAATGCACATATTTTTTTGCAGCAAGTCTCTCAAGTGTCTCCTGTCGTTCAGTAACATATTCTTTATTCCTACTCTTATTGTAATGGCACACTAGCAGATGCAGACATAAAATACAGTGATCCTTAAATGTCCACATTCCCCAGGCAGAATGAGAAAACTACTTGTAATATCCATTTCTATGTTACATTTTGAAAGGAAACTGGAAACTTTGAGCGTGACAGGCTTTATATGCCTGTCAGTGTTGATTCTGGGCTGTTGCAGATATTCCATTTTTACACTTTTATCAGCTGATATCAAGTTGATAAAAGCAACATTCATGCCGATATCATTATGCATCCAAACAATCCCAACAATCAGCTGCCCTTGTAGACGACAGAAAAGATAAGGAAGCTACTGTTTTCACTTATTACAAAGTACGGAACGACTGCTGCTGTGGTGTTTGTATCTGAAATGATTTTAACCACTGATCATGAAGCTTTGCTTCAAACAATGTATAATTGAGGCTGATGCCATTGAAAACACGATCGAATTTTCCCTCAGCCCATGTTGTAACCAGTGAATGTTAAGAGGTTACAGTACTGAAATTGAATTTTTGTGATAATACAACTTTAATACAGACATATTAAAGCAATTCATATTCCATCCATTGTCTTTACACCGCTTAATCCTCACTAGGGTCGCGGGGGGGCTGGAGCCTATCCCAGCCAGCAATTCATATTGATACAGTAAATATCTGGTTTTCAGCTTGAAGCTGTTTGCATAAATAATGCAAATAATAATGGATCTGATGCCATAATTCAGGGCAAAGTTCTCTAGTCTGTCACTCTCATAATCATATTTTTTACATTTGCAATTCTCTTTTGCAGTAATGAATTTTTCCAAAGACAGTTATGTCAAACACTTCTTCAGCCACAGCTCAAGAAGACGAGCTTGCAAAACTGTTTATGAACTCGCTTCTTGTTCAGCTATGACCTAATTCACATGATTTATATGGCGTGTTCTTGAGCAATTTATGATTATAACTTCTACGATCACAGCCAAGATTTCAGGTGCGCTGACTTTCAGTTTCACCTTAAATGAACTGGTGTCAGTAATCTGCCTAAACTGTTTATTTGCAGCTCATATGATCATCTAAGTCCCCCCCTTTTTAAAAAAATGTATATTAATGCAATGTTGTTTAAGTAAGAACAGATAGAAATCATGGCTAAACAGCAGAAATAAGACCAAAGTTGTAATAAGCTGGAGTTTTCCTTTAATATTACCATGTACAAAAACAATTAACAGAAGGGGGAAAGATGAGCAATAATATTTATATAGATATATACAAATAATACTGTACAAGAGCACAAAGGAAGGAATAACAGGAATTTTCTGAATTCAGCAGAGGAGTGTAAATATGAGATGAATCAGTACACATAATGCTGTATGATAAACATTGGAACGGTTTCAACCTACATAGAAGCTTTAGAGCTGGACTGAATCTGGACTGTGCTCGTAATATAACGCTGCATTCAACCGATCTCACTCTGTCTGCCATTCAACACACACACACACACACACACACACACACAAACACAGGCAGGCAAATACATTCACGTTCGGGGTAAAACCCATTCGCTCTGATTTCAACACAGGCACACCTGGACTGGCTAAGATTTATCCACCTGTAGTGGCTTGTATGGCTTGTTCAGCGTCACTCGGGGTGCTTTGCACATTGCGTCTTGCAACACACACACACACACACACACACACACACACACACACACACTGCTGCCTCTGTGAGCGTGTCCACTGTAAAGGGAATCCTTCATCCACAGTTCATATGAGCGAGTGAGTTTAATCCTCCTCGCTTTGTGTGTCCGTATTCCCTCAGTCCATCTGAGGCTAAAGTGCTGCAGAGGAGGGAGATAAGTTTGTGTTTTACTGTATGTTAAAGGGTCCAGGGTTCATTCAGTCACTCAGTATAGAGCTCTTGGACGTGGCTCTGAATTCCTCAATTTCTTGAGCTCCAGCGGCAACAGCAAAGGAAATTTTTGTTCGAATCCCACATAGGAATGTAAGAATGAGAGCTTGCTCAGATGCGAGACAGATGTCTTGATAAAATTACGTCCTGCGTGCTTTCAGCTGCTGCAGCTCAGGACGAGGTTTGTGCTCTCGTTGGACAGCAGCAGAGAAATGGAGGGGTTCAATCATCTCAGTTCAGTTCCCCAGAAACTGCTGCCAGACCGGTGCGACCTAATATTCCACACCTGGAGGGACAGGAAAATCCACGGCTTTGCTTAAAAACAGTCTCGTCTGTAATGTCACCAGTTCCTCCCGTCCTCTCGCCGTCCGCCTACCAGTTGCAGTCTTTCTTTAGCAGTGTGAGGACTTTGCGGCCCAAACTGGCTTTCCAAGGCTTCACGAAGCTCTTCATGTTGACCAGGAGGCGGCCGTGCTTGCGGTCCGAGTGACCTGCCACCAAATACTCCACACCTGAGAAATGAAACGAAGGTTCAACGACATTCTGGACTTCATTTTTAAAAACTTCAGTCAACTTTGAAGCTGTTCTGACTGACACAGCTCACAGGCTCTCTGCACAGGAGGCGCCTGAATAAACAAATATACCACCAAGAGCTGCCAGATGGAGGAAGGTTTAAGATATTTATTCGTCACTAATTTGTATTTTTTTCTCCAAAACAACATTTTCTTCATCGTACTTTAACAACCTGCTGCGTGCATGTGTGTGTGTCTGACCTGGGTTGAGGATGGGGCAGGTGCAGCCCCGTGCGGTCCAGGACTCGGGGTAAAGGGTGACTCGACCTCGCTGTATCTTCACTTTGGTGTTCTGACTGAGCACTTTCTGAACTTTGACCTCCACCTCGGCGTGGGAGCCCTTATCGTGGGCAGACAACACTTTCACCTTCAGCACTAAAAGTCAGGAAGAAAAATGAGGTGTGATGAGACCTTCAGGGTATTTTTTTTTAAGTTGCAGCAACACAGTTAAAACTCAGACTTTTAATTCTAAGTCAAGGCTCGTGTTTAACAACTGCATACCAAATGAACCTCAGAACTGAAGAAGAAATGGACTGTTTTTGAACTAATAAGTAACAAAAGGTTAATATGAAGTATAGAAGAAGGCTGATGTGGAACCATATGCACTACGTGGCTGCGTGTTTGGTCGCTGGACAAACTTCAAAAGTAGTTTTATCTTGATCGAGGTCCTATTTTTTCAGCTTGGGATAAAATTCAGATGAAGTATGCTTCTCCCTGAGGGGCTGAAATAATTGATCATTGCTCTGAATGCTTCAATATTTAAAGTAAAGAAAGTAGGAACAGCAGCCAGATGGATGTCAACATCCACTGCATGGACAAAGATATTCATGATCCCCAGAAGAGGAATCTCAAAGACTTTAGTGAACTTTTCCTCCAGTAGCTCCATGAGGTTGTTGTTTTGAGTGACACATCTTAACGACTATTAAACAGATTGCCAGTTTATTTTTTTTTTAAACAAAGCCTCACATCCCCCTGAGGGTAATTTGTAAACATTTTCATCTGCTTGACTTATCATGTAGCGTCATCTACAGGTTCATGACAAAACCAAACCAAAACTAACCTCCTGCCTAAGCTATACTTTGTGTTTTGTCCTAACCAGCAAGCTGACGTGTTAAACAAAGATCTAGAACATTACACCTGCTAAACATAAGCACATTAGCATTCCAGTTTTAGCTTTTAGCCTAAATGTGTTCTGTGCCACAGTATGGCTGCACAGAGCTGCTAGCAATGAATCAATCAATCAAACTTTATTTTATTTGATTGCATCTTTGACACAGGTTGATGCAATTCAGAGTGCTTTAAAGGTAACTGACAGGGTGATAGGAGGACAGAAAAACAACTTGAGACTAAAGCAAATAAAGAAATGCTAATGCTGGTAATCTCATAATAAGCAGTAAAAGAATATTCAATTTCGCGATAGATACAAGTTAAAGTATAAAATTTGCTAAACTAGACAGAACACAGTGACAAATAAAGTTTATAATATGCAATGCAACAGTTCAAGACATAAATGAACTACATGTATGTAGAATAAAATAATGGGCATAAACCATTTTATTCAAAAGTTAGTAAAAAGTGTAAAAGTGTGATTTTTAAGAATGTCAACACTTTCAGCTGTTTTCAGGCCCTCAGGAAGACACAAAGCGTGACAACATTCCTCCTACTGCTAGCTGTTCCAAAGCCATCCATTTTTTTATTTTATCAGGTTTAACAGTTTTCCACTACAATCGCAGTTCCCTTTTTTTAAAAAAACTACGTATACCTGTTTAATACAGGTAGGTTTTGGGCTATTAACAAGTCTGGTCCATAAGTTTTGACCTACTAAGACTTCTGAGACTGTGGTTGCAATAAAACAGAATTATTCTCTATTGGTCACGGGATTAAAAAAAAAAAAAAAAAATGACACCAAAGAAATCATTTAAAATAATATTCTTCATTTTGGACTCTTCATTGGATCGGTTGATGAGGTGAAGTGTGTGTGGATGATGTCTGAGTTCTCACCGTATGCATAATTCATGGTGCAGAAGAGTTTACTGTTGGTCAGGGCTTGCTCTTTGCACTCACACTTCTCTGTGGGGGACAGAAACGAGCACAGATTTGTAACATAATGAAATAACTCAGGTCGTGTGTGTGTGTCTGTGTGTGTGTGTGTGTGGTCTCAGATACTGTACATGGAGTCCTAAGAATGCAAGCACAGTGTGTGTGTCCAGTAAGGAATGTGCCTATGAAAGCTGCAGTTACAGGGTGGTGGTGGTGGAGGGGCACTAAGAGAAGGGACACTTGGAAACTAGCCACACACACACACACACACACACACACACACACACAAAGTTGTGTTTCAGTCACTTCAGAGAACACTACACTGACCTCCCCACCATCTCTTGATACTAAAAGTTGGTCGTTTACATCATCAGGATTTGATTTTTGTTCCAAACATAGAGGTGGATCCTCTCCACCTTTCTGTGTAGGAAGATTTAAGTCCTCACAACATTAGTAATACAAGTCCACCTGCACACATACATCTTTGTTCCAAGTCCGTTTGAGGCCCTATCAAGACTTTCATTACTTTAACCATTAACGCTTGGTCACTGGACTATGGAGGAGGGTGAATATCACACACACACACACACACACACACACACACACACACACACACACACACACACACACACACACACACACACTCTCTCAGACGAAACACACACCTATTACACACACACACACCATCTTTGTATCTCACCTAAGTAGTGGAAAGCAGAGAAGAGTTCGTCTGCTCTGAAGATCCTCACCGGCTCACTGGAGTTTCCCTCCAAGTTGTACAACTCCAGGTCAGAGCTGCAACACAACATCACCACACATCATGGAAATGAAGATAAATGTCAATTAACAAAAGTGCTAAACAGAGTCAGTTTAAAAACATGAACGTTAGCGCTGTTACTGAGTGAAGATTGGTCAGTTGGTGCTGAGCAGAACATCTCGGTGTTACTGGCTGGGTTGCCATGACATTCAGACGATGATGATCAGTGATGATTTCGATGACGTTTCCTCTAACACCAACGTGGGGTCTAGTCTTTGTCTCAACCAACACAAGTTACACTGAACTAATGGCCACAGCTGAACGAAACATCCAGTGGATATTCAGGATTCACAGAGGATACACTTGGCCTTTTTAAAAACATTGTGGTCAGCTTGTTATTAAGTTTTCTGGCACGGCCTCAGGTTGAACTTTACACTGCAGAGCAAAGGCTCCTTTACACCAGCATTTACAATACTGGCATTTCAGGCAAACAAACAGCTTACTGCAGTGGAACCATAATCGGTGTATCTGGCAACACAGTTTATGGGGACAAAGGCATAAATGTTGCAGTGCCAGCTTGTGGCCTGACCAAACTGTAAACCAAACAAAAAAAAAAAAGTAGAGCAATACTTTGGCAGCTGGCTCACAAAAAAACATCAAAAACAAAAACAGTTTTAATTTGACACACATCATTTTTAACGTTTTATTTTTACATTAAATCATGTATATTTTTTGGCTTTTAAAATTCAAAAAAGATCAATTGATTCATATTAATTGATACCACACACTGATGGAAATACAATTACTAAAACATTTTTGTTGTGGAAACGTGATACCTCTCATTTAACAAACAAATTTTTGTCGAATTACAGAATGCATACTTTTGTTAAAACTCCTGTTATTTAACTTTATTCATGTCATAGTTTTTTTCACACAAACAGGTGCAGTCTATTTTTGTCATTTAATGATATTTTTTGTGTTTTTCAAAAACACAAAAAAAATGATAGAATAAAAAAGGTAAAATTACTGGATGTTGTTTGTTTCAATATGATAGTATATTATGGTACTAACACTACCAGGTAGCTGTAATGCTAACTATAAGTATTCACATTATTTCCAGTCAGAACAATCAGTAATCCAGACAATTTTTACTTTGTTGGTTTGGAATCTGATTTATCAGCATGACTTGAGCCACTTCAGCATAATGAATATTTTAGTAATAAGAAACTAGCAATGCATTCTGAACGGTCAGTGACTGTGAACAGAGACAGGGTCCTGGTGCTGTGTGGGAGGAGAGCTCATAATAAGCTAATTAGTGCCATTATGTAATTATTGGTTGTTGAAGAACTGGGCAGAGAAAGTTCACTGTTTCTGCTATCAGTTACATTCATTCATTTAGCCTTTGCACACATAGTCTGAGTCTAGGTATCAGCAAAGACAACGTCTTTTTACTCACCCGGACATGCAGTCCCCAGTATACGGATTACAGTCTCCTGCACAGTCACATGGACGGCAGCCATACTCGTGAAAGCCCCAGTATCCCACCATGCAACTGTCGCAGTGGGCTCCACCTACTCCGGGTTTGCAGATGCAGTTTCCGTTGGAGGGGTCGCACAGCGAGCCGTCGGCCAAGTGGAAGGGCATGGAGCCCATGGGGTGACAGCTGCATGCTGGGAGAGAAAAAGGGTGGAATTAATTTGGATGGGGAGATATTAATGTTGCACTGTGTCAACAAACATTCATGAACAGACATTCTGAGGCAGACTGCTGAGGACAAAAACTGCTTTTGATGTGTTTATTTTCTTCAAAGACCCAGAAATTGCAAAATCTTGCCAAGAAGCAGCAGCATTTTTGGGAGTTTTAGCTCACAGTCGATTAAAGCAGGAATCACAGAGCGATGAACGATCGACGAAACTGTCTCTGGTCACTATCAAACCATCAACAGTGCAACTAAATGGTGTGTTTCTCAACCACCACAACAACACACCCAAAAAATGTGTTTTTGATTGTGAAACACAGCAACATCAACAGGATCACTGATGTCAAACAAAGGTTAACGGTCATCTCAAATGTGATGTTTATTTTAACAGCATTTCACCAAAACATCATATTTATTTTAGATGATTTATTTTAGAAAACTATATTTCAGTGTTTGGTCCAGATTGAAATATCTTCACATATACAGTAAAACCATTAAACTTGACTTTTATAAAGGGTGAATGTTACTCTGAGGTCAAAGCTTCAGTTACCTGTATGGCTATCAGCCTCAGCTGTGTGTTGTTTAATGCTAGCTGATGCTAATGCTAATAGCACAAACTAAGATGCAACATATTCTAAATATGTCTTTTTAAATGTCACCAGAGATGGCATAATGACTTAAATATTACGATGTCAGCATTGTCAAATTGTATGTTAGCATACTAACATTAGCATTAGCATTTAGCGCAAAGCTCCAATATGTGAGGTACAGTGTCACTGCTAGCTGCTAGCATGGCTGTAGCTTCTTAGACTTGTTTCACCAGTCTGTTTGAAAAGCTTCAATATATCCCTGAGATTTTCTGTCTGTAGTGTAAAACAAACAAGCATCCACTGTACTGAACAACAAAATTTGAGCAGCACTTTTCAACAAAGATAAGTTATTTTGTTAGCATTTAACAACTTTACGGCATACAAAAATGAGTTGGTTGTGTGTTGACAAAATAATCATTCAAAACCATAATAAACCAGCCATCTAATTCACTATGTAACATGCTAATGTGTTGAAATTACCAGTAATACATCATATGCGTGGAAATTCTCTGACTTATTATACTAATAGGTGCTACAAAACTTTAAAGAGCCTTTAGCGATGCTAGTAGCTATGTGAGGCTACACATTGGCACAACAATGATGCTCCGAGCTAAAAGCTAACACCAGCATGCTAACGTGGTTCCACAGGACAGTGCTAACATGCTGATCAAACATTAGTTTAATGTGCTAGCATAAAACATTTCCTAAATAGCACTAAGCATGTTTAGCATGAAAAATAAAGCGTTTCGATTGAAGTACCACCAATTACCCATAAAACTGTCAGTCAGCCCAGTCATGACTAAAATCTAAAGGTGTTTAATTAACTTAAGGGAAAACCATAAATGTGTATATCAAATGTCACAATAATTCATTTAAACGTTGTAATAAGATGTCACTTAAACCTAAAACTGCACTGTGGTGCTACAAAAAATATCACATAAAGTCAGGAGGATACATCCCCTGGGTACCATGAACATCTGTAGAAAATAAGGTACAAATAAATAAAAAAATAAAAACTGCTAAGCTCAAAATACAAGATAGAAAATTTAAAAAAACCAAAACAAAACCACATCAGTGGGGCAGTGAGTCTAAAGGTCTTTCATGCTCAACAGTTTGCTGACTAGTAAATTATAATTTATCACCAGCACTTAAGTGTTTCATCATTCACCAGTCGCTCCATTGTCTGACTGATATTGTTGCAAGAGCTTACAAGACAAAGGCTTCTCTCTTTTTCTTATCACACTCTCTTTTTTTTCTTCTTTGTGACATACACATGACAAGTAAATAGCTAAACCAAACCCTGATCTAGTTCACACCTGAACCCGAACACAACCTTCTGAAGGTCTGCGAGGACCGGCCTGCATGTCCTCAAGGTCTACAGCTGAGGCCGGTCCTCACAAAGACAGACGTACAGGCAGAAAAACACTTAACGCTCTCCCTCCCTCATGTCCCCTCTAATTGTGTGCTGATAGGGTGTTCTTTAAACAACCTCCAAAAACAATATACTTGCACACACACTGTAACACCCACCCATGTTTCCACTGGCAGTCTGAGAGAAAACTACTGTCTGCTGGGACCCGGAGCCTTTCAGGAGGAGGTGTCGGGCCTCCCCACATAAATCTGTCCCTATCTCGGGGGCAGACGGGGAGGGAGAGAGAGAGAGAGAGACGTGGTGAAGGAGAGGCAGAAGACGAGGAGACGGAAACAAAGAGGGGGTGTTGTTTGGAGCCATTTCTCTTCGGTTTAATGATGCTTGAAGCCTGACTGGCAGTAAATGACTACTTACTGTACACCCACAAGCCCTCTGAGCTCCTTCTTTTATCATTAATGCTGCCTTTGATTATAGAAAAACTAAAGATAAAACAACAACTTCAAATCGGGAGGTTTTCTCAGACCGAACTTTATGACACGATGTTAAATTTACACAGCAGGAAACAAACACGTTGCATGCTTTGAAAAACACAGATTAAAATTCTTTCTTGACCTTAGATGTTCTGAGGCTTTTTTCCCCTTTTTGTAAGGAGTTGTTTGGATGAATTGTTCAACGTATAAACAGCACGGTAGCTGAAATGCACACCAATATGCATGAAATACCTTTAAAGTTGTTTAATCGACAAAGGTTTGGATAAACAGATGCACACTTACTGATTAAAAAACTACATATTAAAATGCACTAAAACAGGTTCTGGGTTAAAAATTAGCCGATTGCCAGAAAAGCAAATCTGATTTTGTCTGTATAATTTCTTTAATGGTATTTTATGCCAATATTAGAGAGGTTACACAAAAGAAAAGCGGTAATGTGACTGTTACAGGTCATGGCCAGCGTCCCAAAGAGTCATTTATCGAACATAAATGCAAAAAAAATATCTGGTTTTAGCTTAGTTTTATGGATTTGTAGTCAACCAAGTCAAAAGTAGAACTAATTGTTTATGTATTTAAACTATTTATCAAGTAGAAATACCAGCCTTTGTTTAGCTTCTAAAATGAGTGCATGTGCAGCTTCTGTGACCTTGAACATGTTTGGATTTTGGACAAACACAATGTCTGAAAATTACACTTTTCTTTATTGTTGTTGTCATTCTTAGAACAACCAATTGAAAAGTACTAATGTAAAAAACATCTACAGTGACAATCGTTGCAGAGCAGCTACTTTAACTAGTCTGTACATAATTTTGCTTCACATACTTTCACCTCTTCCCTGAAGGAAACGTGATGTTCGTGTCTGTTTGTGAGCGTCGCCCTGTACAGACGACGTCCCATCAACCTTCCCCAGCTTCAAACCAGACAGTTTATCAGACGAATCATTCAAAACAGCAGAGATAAGATAAACCTTATCGTAGGTCCGGACGGTACGATATCAATAAAATCATAAAGATATCACATTTATATACTTTATACTCGGGTACATGCACACAAGGCCGTATCTGCACTTTTGTTTAGTGAGCAGCCTCCACGTGTTAATAATTAACAGAGATTACAGCAGCACCTCTGTTCCAAGCAAAGCCAAAACACGTGTGATGATGATGTGTTTGGTAAGTGTGCGAGTTTTCATATCTGCGCGAGAATTTATGAGCATTTCAAAAGGGGGTCATGACACAAGGACTCCTGTAAGTAAATATGTGTGTGCGTGTGTCGAAGAAAGCTGTCAACTACAACAGCTCTGACAATGAAAACTTTATGAGCGTGTGCTGAGACATGACAGGACACCTGCCCGAACAACCACAGAAAAACCCAGCGCAGACAACAACCTACCCACAAACACACACACACTGCAACTCTCTTTCCCAGTAAACTGTTTGGGTGTGTACGAGCTTGCGTGAAGCTTAACAAGAGTGTTTTCTTTCCCGGGCCCCTCGGAGGCTGGTATGAAAAAAATGTTCCTCACGACAGAGGGAAATTCCTCCATTGTCAGCGAGCGGCTACAGTGGGATTTCACAACCTGTACATTCGTCTCAGGGGTTCTCCGGGCATGCTGTCGCTCCTTTTTTCTATCAATCAGCCGTCAGTCAGGATCATTAGCCTCCATAGTTACTGCGCAGGTGAGTTTTCAGGTGTAAAGAAAAACAAACTAATCTGTGAAATTCAAACCCTTGCACATCACACCTGCTATAAAGAAGGCGGTGCAGCTGTTTCTATGACCTTATCAGAGATACAGCGATATCAGAATAGACACTGGGGAAAATACTGAAGCACAATTAAGGCTATGTAAGTCGCTATAGGATCCTGAGTCAGTGGTTACTTAACTCCAAGCAGAACAGCTTGGCATAAAAATCTGATAATGATTTATGTTGGCTCTGTCTGTGGAGTTTACAAAAGTAGTACACATGATACAGTATATGATTATGACAACGGTAAAGAATTAGGGGGAAACACAAGTCTGCAGCCATGCTATGTGAGTCTTTATGAAGAGAGTTTATACAGCACAACCAACAAAGACTGTATAGAACAGATGTATGTAGCCATTGGGACATTGGTTTGTCAGCTGCTGTTATGAAGTCTAGAGTTTGGAATTTGGCCATGCCCATAGAATTATTTTAAAAAACAGACGTGCCAGTGGTGGATCTAAAAGAGAACATAAAGAGTCTACTATCGACTATACAGTTGCAACTTGTCAGTTCTGAGGTACTCATGCCATAAAACTTACCCTGCTTTATTGTTTATTGTCCTCAAAATGGGAATAAAATTGACATCATTAACATCAAGCTGTATTGAAGGAGGCTTGAAACTAG